GAATGCCCATTTGGTGGGGGATACCAAAGTACTCGAAAGTAGTGCGTGTTTCAATGTGGCATGGAAGTTTTATATGATCTCTGGTCAATGCAACATACAATAGCCATCATGAATTGCTGGCCTCGAACGCAACTCCGACCAGAATTGGCAGTTCCCTAAGTTAGATGCTTTATAATTCCATGGCCCCAGCTGTAGTTATAGAGGGTTTTTTGCACATTATTCTTATAGTCGATAGATTTATACTGATGGCCACAAACAACGGCAGTTCAAACTTCACTGATGTGTTCATGAGCTGAGAGATTTCTCTCCACTATTTCTGTTGTGCACACAGGTTTGTCCAATATGCATTGACCGTATTGGGTATGGTACCTGCTCTGAGAAGGGAATCGCTGGAGCCACAGTCCAACTATACAGGCTTTCAAGAAACAGAGAGGAGCCATCTTTGCAAGCTGATACCTGATGTGTACCGACAGAATTCTCACGAGATACCTTACAGACTACGCCTGGTGTATACTTCATAGTACTCCTTCGACTACTGTCTAGAATCAAGTCGACTGAAGCAAGTTCAAACAACTCTGGCTTCAAACGAGCCGTCGATTAGACAAACAAAACATTCTCTCATATACTAGAGCACTCTGACAACTCACGACCTATTCCTAACGATTGCCACCGCTTATAAATATGTAGAGTACTGATTGGAATGTGCTCACAATCTCAACAATCCAGTGCTATAATTATTTGAACTATGTGTTCCTTCCATAAATGTTGTATCCACATATAATCCACAGTGCTGCAAAGTTTCAGAGTTCTCAGGGTATCAAACAAAATTATTTCAAATACAGTGAAATAGTTCGTGGACATTATAGCGTAACTTGTAGTTCCCTGGTCCTTTTCTTTGCTATAAATTAATCCTTTGCTCTCTAGCCACCGGTGAGTCCAACAGTGAAATTGTTAGTTCATATGTATGTGGGTATGTGGGGGGGGGGTGAACATATTTCTATATAAGGGACCTGCAACTGTAATACCACAGTACAGTAGATAGCAAATATGTAGAAAACAGAAATGCATGTTCCCATCATTGTACATGGACGGGCGCAGCAGGCCGAAGCTATAAGCCAGAACAGGATTTACAATCGCCTAGAGATACTTGAGCTTTTCCAGTATTCTCCGTGAGCTGTCCCATTCCACAATGGTTCATGCCACCATTATTTCTGGTAGTATCCATGTGCATAATTCCAAGAACATCTCGGATTCTTCAACAATTTGTGCCACGGCAAAAGACAACGCTTGACTCGGTCACTGGGGCTGTCAAACTTCACATCACAAATGAACTTCAATTTCTCATCTGGTTCAAGTATATGTACTGCCATGACTTGACCATGCTTCATCCACAGCTGGGCGAAGATTGTGGCGTTGAATTCCATAGCGCACCTTCTTGCTGCCATGCAGGAATATGTTGAGAGAAGTGAACATATTTTTACTAAAAAAACAACAGCCACTGAAGAGGATAGCATTAGCAATAGCCTTGGGTGAATTTCCTGCAGGTACACGTTGTTGGTAGGTCTACTGGTCGGTCTCCGTATTGTCAAGTTCAGAAATCACCTGTACTACACATCTTGTAGAAGGGATCCTGATCGAATAATTCTCTGATCATAAAATTCACTAAACTGAGGGCGAGACAAATAGTCAGTACTCCCCGATTCCGTCTAGCTGCTTTGATCAAGTGATGCTAACAAGCTCCCCGTTGTTACTTCCAGCAGCTTCACTTTCCCTGCGACAGCGGCTATCAACCGTTCTGTCCATCGTCGACAATTATCACAGATTCAACATTCTACATTTGTCAGCACTGCACTGGGTGAATATGTCTCGAGACGAATTTAGCGGATCAACAACGCTTTGATGGAGATAAATTCTCCTCTGGAGGACCTTCAGGGTACCTGGAAGGGTATAGAAGACGGGATCGCTCACGATGTTGAGAGAACATAGAAAACAACCTCCTCTTCGATTGAAAATTGGCCAAAAAGTGTGTGAAATGTATGTGCGCAGATGCATTTCCACTGGCAAGCTAATCCCTCATTACGTCATCAGCGCTCGCTCGGCCGAAATTCAAAAGTCGTCTTCCTGCTCGACTCGATCGCTTCTGGAGACTCGTTCTTGTTCGAGGGGTCTTCTCTTTCACCAACCTTCGTCTTGGCATCGAAAACTCGGCGTCGAAAATGAAGCCGGAGTGCCCCTTTAATTATTGTAGTTGACGTTGATTTAGTGACTTTGGCAAGTTTGAGTCGTGTCAAGAAATCAGGTAGGATTCAGTACTAGGCAGTAGTGGAACGTGAGTGGTAGTTTTTGCCGATTTTTGAGGATATCCTGGATTCGGCTTGCAGCGCTGTGGAAATGGCTTGCCGTGGAGGTCCCAGCTCTGGATGTTGTATCAAAGGTACGACCTCGTAGCACGCCCTAAACCTGAAAAAATCAAAAATTGACTTGGGTCTGTGGGAGTATGTGAGAGAACGCCCATTCTTGCCGTTGTGACAGATTCCAGGGCCACGTTGAAGGGCCCTATCCCGTCATCCATGGCTGCTTGTGGACTTTCTTTAGGTTTGGATCCCGCGCACGGACAGAATGGGCAAGAAAGTGTGAACAAATTGTAAAATGCATTTGTTCGGCTCCTGGGTGGCTCGCACACCGTGGCACTATGCCGGAATTTCTGAGTTTTTACGGCCTGGAAAGCCTGTCAGCTAGGCGCAAGAACTTGTAAATCATGTCCAGAGGGCCAGCATAGTGGCAGGACTGTGGGGTCAAAATTCCACTCAAATCCATTGAGAAACACCAAAGTTACGGTCAATTGAATGCCATATGAAGTTTATGGGTAGGCTGCCCCCTTACGTGACTGCTTCCTTCTAGCATCCGAGAAATGCACTGGTCTGGTTTAGAAACTAGTTTTGAAATCTATGTGGTTTCGGCTATCAGAAAGTGCAATGCAAATAAACTTCGAGTTGTCTTTCTGAACGCTCGAACTAAATCCAACTCTGTCATGATTATTTTGTTTGTGTGTAGACCCGAACCTGCAGTGACGGCTTAATCCGGCGCAGTTACAGCTTCGCCTCACCAAGCCACGAGCAGTGTCGTGCATATGTCAACTGGTGGAGTGGACGACCAGCAAGCCCCAACTCTGGTATGGAAAACCACTTGTAGCGGGTCGCCTCCTGTGCTCAGAGGTCACTGTGCAAACTATGCTGCGGTACTACCTGGATACTGTTGCTGGAGATGGCAAGTCAGCCAGCAATTTCAAAGCCATTTCTGGCTCGGACAACAAGTCATCAAGACTTGATGAGAGAGGATACGTACAGAAAATAGAGGTTGCGTCATCCAGCAATAGTGTGCACTACAAGGCTCGCTGTAAGCCCGAAACACGCACGTTGAAGGGGCGTATCAGCTCTGTCTGTCTGTGCAGACCAAGGGCGGCAGTGGCACTGACTGCCATACCGTGGAGCGTGTCACCCATGCCGAGTGTTCGTGTCCCGCTGGCAAAGGTCCCCACGGGTCTTGCAAGCACCTTGTTGCCCTATTTTACTCCTTAATCGACTCTATATACTCGATTTGTCTACACTAGTGACTCGGTGACTTGCACTGATAGACTGCAAGCCTGGAATCAGCCGCATGGGAAAAGGTCGGAGCCGATGTCGGAACTAATTCCGAGACCTCCGGTCGGATGAGCCTCACCAACCACATCGGCATATCGCCCCTACTTCCCTTTGTCTTGTTGTCCAGTGTCATTTCAGTTGTCCTCTTTCCCTGATTATTCGTAGGGCTGTGTTTGCTAGTAAAAAAGAAATACTGATCACTGTCATGACTCATACTCATACTAAAAACTCAGATTGCAACCTCCCCACTGGAGCCCGGACCCTCCGTTGCGCGCAACATCCGTCGCCGGTTCGTAATCGTGAACGCGAGTGTTTAGGAAACACCCAGCCTGAACGTGCTCAGTCTCTAGTCTTTGTTAGTCGTGAGTATTGTGTGAACATGCAGCCAGTCATATTGCCACACTGATTAGGTGTCTTGTGTGGTGAAGCATCCCGCCGGAACGCATGACTCAACGCCTGGTATTCAACATTACAGTGAAGTCTGAAAGCATGTATTGCATGGAGCACTGGTCCATTGGACCTGGTGCAGCTCCATCTACCCCATGACGAGCGTGTGTAAAATGCAGTTTATGCGTCTATTTTGCCGCAATCTGCAATCGTCTGCGGCTCTTGCATTCATCTCGGAAGCTGTATTCGCTTGTATCCGAACGATGGGTGGTACACGTTCAGGAAAAATCGAGCTTGCAATTGGCAGCGATATGGCGGCATTCGACTCTTTTCGAACTTATGCCACTGTATTGTCGGGGGTGAAGAAAGAGTTTCTGGATTCGATCGAACCACGCCTATTGAACTTCACCATGCTTCTGTTTTTTAGAACATACAATTAGCCTCAAGCTCTATGTTTTTTTGTCTGCAGCTGCTTGGTCCAACATCTTGCTAGTCCTCTTCTTCAGTCTCAGTACCAGCTCGGGGCGACTGCACCTGGTCACCAGGCATGCACCCGGGGCAGGGCACAAAGTGCCTTAGTTCTCCCATTTGTTTCTATGCAGTATGGCATGCGCTCTATTTCTTTCCTGGTGGAAGGCAATAGGAATTCTCCGAAGAACGGAGCACTGAAGAACAAACAGGCTAGATTTTCACCAAGCATAGCGGGCCAATGTATACACTTTGATTCAACTGTCAATAGACTGTGGATAGCCGCACCTACATCGTCTACCATTGCAGTTTGTTACCTATCACCTATGCTCTCCCCCTACACTGGGAGAGAGTTATGGTTGCTCATGACAGTGCTCAGTTCAGATATGGGCAGAGCTAGTACAGTGCCTAGTACTCCCCCTAAATATATAGCATGCTATCTACTCCCGTTGAGTATCTATTCCTCGGCTCAAGAAGTAGATACATAAGGTTGGGTCGAATTCCTGCAATGCACAAAATATATAATTTTGAAAATCTGATGATAAAATTGAAAAACAATGCACCGGCACCTTTGCTAGTGCTAAAGCGGTTAAGAAATTGGCAATGCAGAGAATAGAACAAACAGCAACTTGCCTCGTACTATGAAAGGCGCAGCAGATCCATTCAAAGTTCATCACTAAGAAAAGAGCAAAAGGGAGTACATGTACTTCTCGAGCTGCAAGGAAACCGAAACTAGGGACTGCTCAGAATCGGTCACAAAACATGGCATGGAAGCATACAATACGGTCATTTATTTTTTGAAAGAAAAAAAAAGCATACAGTCTGCTAAACTAGGTAACTTGGCCCCAAGAAACGAGCAATACCAACTCTACAGTTGTTTGCGCAAGATGAGGTAAGCGCATGTACGAAGCAAGTTGAAAAGCTTAAGGAAAAACGGAAAGAGCTAAAAACAAAAACAAGGACACGGGATCAATTGCGGAGGGAGAGAATACAACACTAATTCGTCCTATATTTTTCTTTTGCTGAGGAAGGGTGTTGGCTAGCAGTTGGTGACCAGGGATGCATGCAAGTGGACGGGTGACAACTAAGACTAATCATGATGAATTGTGTAATGCGGGCATGACCAATATTTAATACACGAGCAAAGGGCATTTTTTAAGGATTTTGCATTTGATACCAAAAAGTAGGAGAGCGGCATGCAGGTGTGTGTCGAACTACGTGCCGATTGAGCATCCCCTGGCGAAGAATTTGCACAGGTACTTCGGAAGTTGCGACGCTCAATTATGCACAGCAACATTAACAGTGGGGAGAATTGCACGTAACACGCGCGTGGATGGGTGTTTGTGGCCGCATGCGAGTGTATGCGCGTGCGCGCACATGTGTGTTCGTGCATGTTTATGTGTGCGCGTGCGTGTGTGTGTGTGTTCGAGGGTGTGTGGGTGGGTGCGGGCAGGCGTGTGTGTGTTCCTGTGTGTGTGTTTGTGTGCGCGTGCGTAAGCTGATAGTCGTGATGCACAGACACAGGGCAGCATGGCGATACCAGTAAACATTGCAGTTACGATGAAGAAGTCTTGTACAGGTGAGCACGTCAGCGAGAAGAACCGTGGTCTAGTTTATGACATGCTTGCCCGAGGCCCTGGAGTACGGGAAAGTGGATTGGAAGAGAGAAAGAAACACCGAAAGACAGACAGAATGAGATAGTAGGAGTGGTGCTGACGAAGAACAAGGCCGAAGATGACAACATGCACTGAACCTGTCACTTGACATCTTCTCACAACATTGCCTTGTCTCTGTCAAACAAGCAAGTCAAATCCGTGTAAAGCTAGAGATGTGTATACAAATCACCTGATCGAACGCCCACTTTCACAGAAACCGGGTGATTGCGCCCTACTACATTGGGATTTTTATGGAAAATGTCACTAAAAGAGGCATTTTCTTTTTCTAAATACATGGGTGACCGCGGTTTGCCCTTATGTTGTAGTCTCTTGGACGCTGAGTCAACTGGGTTTGGTCCGAGAAGGCTGGGATGCAGCGTTCGGCCAGTATTCTCAATCGAACACGGTTGAGTAAGCGGTCACGTGCTCATGTGTATACGAGTCACCTGGTAACCATGCCTGCAGGCTACACGTTTCGCACCAAGGTTCAACTCGATTGACAGGAAAGCGCCCTAACAATCTTCACGTGTTAGCCTGCAGAGATGGTGACCAGGTGACTGGTGCACGCCTGAAAAAATAAATGCCGCATTTAGTGGCATTTTGCGAAAAAATCCCCATCTACTGTCGTGGACATGGAAATCTGGTCGCACGTCTAGCGGCCCCAGGGAGCTAACCATGCAGCCCGCCGTGGATAGCGGAACATGCATTGTGCGCTGCAGCGAGCTGGTCGCATCGGATCAACATGACTCTGTGCACTGCACGCAGCGTTCTGAATGCACTGAGGGCGCCGACCCCGGGCAGTCGACTGGATTTCCATGCCCAGTACAGTATTAGGGCACAGTCACCCAGTTTCGGTGGAAGTGGTGAGTTTGATTAGGAATAAAGGAGGAAGGGAATGTCTCCGCTTCCCCGGTCCAAGGCATTTCGACTCGGCACCCTGAAGACTACGAGTACTGAGATTTTTATTCTGAACCATACTTTCCCTATTGTCCTTTGCATGTACAAGTAGTGCGGGTTTGTAGGAAGTGTACTTACACATCAATGCTGTTGGGATCTCAAATCCATGTGCTCCCCTCATGCACACCTAGTATCATGGAGTAATCAACTCTGCTCCTTGTCGGTGTGTCCGAAGCACGGGAAGCATCACATCGGGGCAACAACTCCACCTGGCAGTATTGGATCGTTCGTTCCGGAGTCGGCGTAGTGTCATCCACTGCACAGTTGTCTGCTGGCGAACTGCTGGCTGCTGGTGGACTAGTGGCTGCTGGCGGACTGCTGCTTGCCACATTGGCTTCCAGAGGTTCCAAAGGTTCCCTGTTGAAGTAGAATTGATGACATCATCAATAAGTTCGATGGTCTTGCACTTAATAATGAATTGTAATTCTGACCTTTGTCATATACAACCGTTCTGCTCTATCAATTGTTCTAAGTACCTTCTACTCGCCGCGCATTTCAAGCCCACGTGGGTCTGCTTTCTGTGCTCTAGATTTAGCTGGGCCTGTGGAGAATAGCCAGCACTGTTCTTCAGATGTTATCACTGCATGTTCTATGAACAGATATGCCACTAAGCCAAACTACGGCATTGGGAAACCAATGCAACTGTGTTTACCTGGAATACCTTTTGTACGTTAAGTGTGTGGAAATTTCTGCGAGCGGACACGACCTTCACACAAAAACCTGCTTCAAAAAGGGTGTCCCAACTTCACTAAGGTTCTCACACTGTGGACACTTTGTTGCACTCCGCCATACGATTATCATTTTCCCTGTCTGTGAAATCAAGGTGCGATGCTCTTGCGAGACGGAGCACTCTCGCAGTACTTTACCGAACAGATCAAGGGAAAAGAGTACACATGCCACCCTGATATAAACTAGGAATCAATAAGAAGTTCCTACCTGCAATGCCTCCTCAGTGCAAAGATGAAGACGATTGACAGGGCAAATACCACGACACCGAATGCAATCCCAACGCCAATAACGGTTGCAGACTGCACGCCTTCCTCTGCAGAATCATCAGTCGTTGAAGAATATGCGGGTGAGGCAGAGCGCACCGTCACGCTTGACATCGCTGTCTCTTGTGCAATCTGGATCGCTGATGTTGCTGATTGAGGCATTGCTGTGACGGTTGATGTAGTTGTGTAGGAACCGCATGTTTTTAGGGCAACAAAATGGCAAACAAAAATGAGGAATTCAGTAGCAGCGGTCGAGCATCAAGTTACAGTCAACTTGGCTGATAACGACTGCGGATATAACGACAATTCGCGAACAACGACAGAATTTCTATGCCCAGAACAAAGTCCATTCTACCTGTAGACATGTAATGAAACTCCGGGTATAACGGCACTTCGCGAATAAGGACACTTTTCTGATGCCCGGCCGAGTGTGGTTATACGCAAAGTTGACTGTACTTCTGACATGCTGAGTGGTGTGGTACAGACATACTGGTCGTATAATAGAGTACACACCGAGACTACCATGAAAGACACCCACATCTTTGCACTGCTATTCGTATACAGACTGCACATCCAGCCTACCATGAAAGACACCTGCATGTTTGCCCGACTAGAACAAATCCTTTCTAGTACATTCTGCAGAAAGGTGTTGTCACTGATCTAATGTTCATTTCTGCACCGGTAGATGCAACACAGTGGTCATACAGTGTTTTCAGAACCCATTGCAGTGCTTGATGCACTCACTGAAAGTGCAAGGCAAAGAGAAACAGAAATAGAACGTACCGTCAGTATCAGGACTTGTAGAAGAGACTTCTAAATAGAACACAGCACATAACACGCACACAGATACCAACAGACAAGCACATGTATTATAGACATCTGAAGTGCACATAGACAGTCCCATACATGAGTGTGCACTCAAACTACGCCAGTGGCATTAGTGTTCACCGCCTAGCTCACTCCTAGTTCACATTCGACTGGGCGAGACGGGACGCGACGCAATGATCGACGGGAAGCGACTGGACGGTCTGACGACATGGAACGTGAATACCCGGAACGGGAACACAACCGTACCATCGGGAAGCTATGTGAAAAGTTGAATCGATTCAACTTTCCATACAGTAGACGGGAACGCAAGCATACAAAACGGCTGCAATTCGAGTGTGAACAGGAGACGTCGTCGTGCGCCGACAACTCCCGATTCGTACAAGAGGAGATTTTTAGCATTGTGAACATTTCGCTTTCCACGATAACTCACAGAATGGCTAGCACGGCTTGAGTTGAAATTTTTCAAGATAATATCTCAGGTTACTTCATTGGATTTAGAGACAGTTCAGGAGCGTGACAGAGGAACTGTTCTATCATTTCCTGGGGCTAATATTTGAATGCCACAACTTTCAGGGCTACCTTTTTTTGGTTTTGATGAAAAACTGGTATTGTGAACTCGATTCCGCTTCATTCAAGGAGAAATAATCAATTTTAATAGAAGTCCCGAAAACAAGAAATTAGGTCCGAAAGTCACCCCGTCACGGACCATGTCTTATGACTCGCGCCGTTCGACGTTGAACATCGCAACGACTGCTGCACGTCGTGTCGTTCGAATCGTACAGGATTTTACAGCTCACCCCAGGCGTCCCAACAGGCGCTTACGTCCCGTACCGTCATCGTTGCGTCGAATGTGAACTAGGCTTAAGCACCAAAGCCGGAACATCCAACACCAGTCAACACTTTGAGACACCAACGACCTGTCCACAATTTCACGTCCATTTGAAACCGCTGTTGTTGTACGGCAACTCAGCACACCCAGATAAAGTTCCAAAACAATTCAATTCTCCATACTCCTAAAGTCCTGAAAAAGCCCTCATATTGTACAAACTTACTTTCACATCTTGGTGGACTT